GTTGTATATAATTTACAATAATGTAAGGCTCAGAATCAAAACTAGTTTGAATTTGTACCTGGTATCCAAGGGTATAGGAAACAAAACTAACCAAGTGTTATTTAGTATATGCTGTGGTTAGACAGATATTGGAAAGAGTATTGACTAAAATTGATAGTATGTGACCATAATGAAAAACTCTATAGTCTGCATGACAAGATGCTTTTATACATATATAACATCTATTGAGGACCTCTGCAATAAGCATTATACTGGGCGTTGTTATGATGACTTAGTAGCTTCTTTAAATTTATTGAAGAGTTGTTTCTTTCTCATCCCAAACTCAGAAGCATAGGGGATATTGATTAACCAGTGTACAAGTGGCCTCCCTTTTGGAGGAAGTAGGTGGAGGTAGGTTGGTAACTTACTTGCACTGTTTCTGGATAATTTGGATTCATGTACATATTTTTAATCCTGTAGGTATCCAGGCATTCCAGCTGATTTAAATCCTGGTTCCCTAGCATGTTCTCAGCTTCAGAATTATGATCCTGACAGAGCCCTGACAGATTACATCACTCGACTCGAAGCACTGCAAAGACGACTTGGAACTGTACAGTCAGGTACTCTTTTGGCAGCATCAAGTGCTAGACCCACAACTCTCCTCTCTGAAACTCCTTGACTCATCATTAGGATGATCAAATCTTGCAGTTCAGTTCATGAGTTATCAAGTTAGCCAAAGCTTAAATTCTGTGTAACTAGCAGAGAAACTGACTTATAAAGGCTTTACGTTAAGACACGATTGACCACCTTGAATCCTACTTCCCACAAAAAGTTTCTGGCTTCATTCAGCAGATTGATTAGGCAAAATGCACGATGAGCACAAGGGAAGTCTGAGGCTACGGAGTTTACTGGAGAATATATTCCTAAGTAATGCATCTTAGAAAGTATTATAATAAAGCATACAAATCGGGTATGGAGGAGGAGGAGGAAGCACTTGATTTAAGCACTTAATGCAGTCATTATCCCTACTACTACTTTGTGCTTTTTATGTATAATCCAAAAAAACTATCCCATTTAAGAGGGATCTTTTTTGTTCAAAAACACAAAAAAATTTCATACTTTATAACAGAGGTGGATTTCTTGTTCATTACAGGAAAACCTATTTCCCCCATCTCCCTTCAGTTCACTCCTGATTCAGAGACTTTGAATCATTTTAAGTGATTGTATTCTAAGTCATTTTTTATATTATGTTTAACTTTTATTAAGGACACGTTTTTTCCTACTAGTCCCACAAACTATGGGCTATTTTATAGGTTATTTTAAATTAGTAGTTTGTCTCTTCAATCAAAAAATAACTTAACTCCAGCAACTTGTAGTAATGGGAAACTTATTAGCAGAGCCGGAGTTTGTTGGTTGGTTTGATTGGCTTATTTTGCTTTGAGCATACAACTTCCACAAGATCCAGATTTTGAAAACCAAAAGATGTTTCAGGATGTATAAGGTATATATATTATAGAACATTCAACTTCACAGCACTTTGAAGAAACTCTTAACATTAGTCTCACTTACCTTGCTGTGGAACCATTCACGGTGAGTTTTAAATATATATTCAAATCTCTTTTAAAAATCAGTGCAAGAATGAATAAGACATTTTAAAGGAAAAAGGCTTTTTTTTTTTTAATGGAGACAATAGTAATCTCCTGCTTTGCTTGCACTAGTTAGTCTGATATAGGTAGCAACCTAATTTGATATCATTTAAATGTCCTGTTTTTCTCTCATAGGTTCAACTACTCAGTTTCATGCTGGCATGAGAAGATAATCCTTTGAAACATCATTAATTGAAGTGATTTTAAACAAATTTCCTTTTGTAAATCAATGGTTCTTTTGTGTTTTTGTATTGTGAATATTCAATGGGACCAGTACAAACACAGCTTATGATTGTATACAAATCCCTCACCAGAACACAAAACTGGAATTTGTATATATAAACATTGTGCATGTATTCATGCACAGTAATCATCAAATTACATGTATATTTGTGGAATGCTAATTTAAAACATTAAATTATAAACCTTGTGTATTTATCAAATGGGTGAAAAGATTAAACTTTTGCGCATTATGATATTGCTGAATGTGTAGCTTGAGGTGTCCTGCACTTTTCTTATAAGGCTACTGAAGTTACATGTTTCTGCCTAATATATTTGCTACTGGTGATGAAGACAGATATCACTTGTAGAGACCTATTTTTGTATAATGGTAGAAGTTTTGAATTTTATGGGGTATTTTGTCAAGTACTGAAATAAAAATGACTTCACCATTTTCACCACACTGTATTTGAACCTTCTTCGTTTTTAACAAGCCATAGTTCTTGGTACATATCATTTCATTACTTACCTCAAATATGTAGGACTTAGGGATTTGGTAAGTTGTCCTAATCTTAGAATTATGTTGGGGTTTTCTCTCCCTCCATTGAGGAAGAAAGTTTTGCATGTGCCTTTGTATCAACTTTATGTCTATGTATAGTGTTTTTACAAATCAATGGCCAAGATGATGCAGAAATCATTTAACTCAAATAATTTTAATCATAATGCAGAAGAATTATAAACAGTATTCCTGCTGTCCAAGCCAAATTCAGATTGAGAAGTTCTTACAGATATAATACAAACCCCAAAGTTATTTCTTATCTGGAGTCCTCCCTCCTCAGTAACTTACTAAAACAGCAAGAGGAATAGTATTTGATGCTTATAACCGGAGGTTAATTGTCTTATTTGATGTTTTTATACCAACACAAACACAGGCATTGTAGCAAGTTGTATATTCTTAAAATTTTCTAATTACAGTTGTCCCTTGATATCCATGGGGTATTGGTTCCAGGACTCTCCTCAGATATTAAAATCTGCAGATGCTCAAGTCACTTATAAAATGATGTAGTATTTGCATATTACCTATGTACATCTTCCCATATACTTTCAGTCATCTCTAGGTTACTTATAATACCTAATACAATGTAAATGCTATATAGTTGATGTATAGTCCTTTTATTTGTATTATTTTTCGTTGCATTTTTTAAATTTAGAATATGTTCATCTGCAGTTGGTTGACTGAGGATGCAGAACCCACAGATATGGAGGGCAAACTATACTTAAATTTTCATATTAGCAGCTGGATTCCAATAAGCTGTGGGTAAAAACCTTTTTCAGCTATGCCATTCAAGAATATTCTGCTCTAGGACACAATGGAGAAAAAAAGAACAAATGGATAAATGCTCTGATTAAGCTGGGTTCATTCCCATTATTTGACCATCAGCCTTCCTTATGATATTAGGCATCTGTGGTCACACTTGTTCATGCTGCTCAATAATTAGTCTGTGGTTAAAAAAAAAATCTGTTGAAGTCTAAAACAAACTGTTCATATTGAACAGACTAGCCGTACCTCGGGTTCTTCACTTTTTTTGTTATGAATTTCCTTCCCAGTCTAGTGAGACTGTAGATCCTTTCTCAGAATAATGCTTTTAAAAACATAAAATATATAGGATTGAAAAAGGATACCAATTATATAGAAATAGTGGCCAAACTTTTTAAAATTATATATAAGATTAAAGCATCAAATAAATAAGATTAACAGTGGGTTACTAGATCTTACTAATGTAGCACTAATTAATTGATTACTTACTAATTTCTAAGTGATGAGAACAAAAGATAATTTAATAGGTCTGCAACATTTATAATGTAACATGAAAATATCTGATTTCTACTAACAAAATCATGGATACTCTAATACTATTAATAGTATGGTTTGTTGCCTGAATTCATAACTAAATGAAATACTAAACTGGGATTAGAAATTAGTGCAAATAAAGATGTAATTTTCTCCATCCAAATCCTTAGATTCCCTGAACTCTACTCACTAAAGCAAATACCTTAAAATCCATGAATACAGAGTCTGCTTTTCTCAAAGAAAATTTTAATGTGAAAAATTATCTAACAGCAGAGATTTTTTCCTCTACAATTAGAGTTTAACATGAGTCTTCCAGTCTTTTAAACAGGACTGTAATATACATAAGAAAACATTTTGGCCTCATCTAATAAAAAGATGAGGCTATATGGCCAAATTATAGATATCTCATATAGTTGGGTCCCCAGTTACAATTTGATTCCTGAACACAGACTTTATATAACATGACTGATTATACTCTTCCCAAGGACCCAGAGTTCCCTGATCTCACATTTTATATTTTATCAACAGAACTAATAACAGAAACATCCCTAATTAGATTCTAGAAAGGAAGCAGGAAACAACTGTGAGCCAAAGAGAAGAAATAAAATTATCTCCTAAGGACTTTTCACACAGATGTGATCTTGTAGAACCAGATACATATTTATCCACTTGATAAATATGTAATATTTAATAATTAAATCAAGACATATGAACAGTCTTTAGCATTAATAATTATATTCAGGAAATATCAAGTATGGTCCTAGATCTCTCTCAATTTCCTATAGGCAGTGCTTTCAGTTAAATTTCAAAGGATATATATTTTTTTCAAACATAGCTCCACTGCTGACTATCATCATACCAAAACAATTAGTATACCCTTTTATTCAAGGCTTTAGATATGAATTTATTTCCTATCCTCCCATCCTCTCTCACACAAAAAAAATTGCCCAGAGAAAACCTGTGGTTTCCATATCTCACCGTACTGTTTTACTTTTAAAAAAAAGTTTTAATACCTTGTAGAACGAATGCAAGATTTGAATTACTCTGGAACTTACTTGCCAAGAGCTATGTATGCTCTTAAATTTACTACCTGGAAATTATTTAGGATCTGCCAATTACACCTAGATCCCCTGAACAAGTTTTTACTAATGAACTTCCTTAAAGCACATATGTATAGTGAGTATCAAAACTATTAGAAAATGTTTCAAATGCCATTAGTTTTGATAGAACAATTCAGTTAACAAAACATTAAAACCATAAGTTAAACTGGCTTTTAGAATAAAAAGTACAGTGTATCATAGTTATTTCATAAACTCCATTCTCTTTCAGTGCCTTTGCAGCTTACAGTGATGTATCATTGTTCCTTGCAGCCTTTTTCATTGTAATCTTCGTTTGTAACGGATAACTGGATTTTCAGGGGTGTGAATCATAGTTGTATAATTCACAGCAGGAAAATATCCATCAATGAGATCAAATTCATACAAACGAATCATAGTGGACCAAATTGTCTTAATTTGAACATACGCAAAATTTTCCCCAATACAACGATGACGCCCTGTAATTAAAAAAAAAAACTCCATAAGGATCACTTTAACATTTGTCAGTCTACATTCCAGATGAACAGATGCACAGATAGTATAATAAAATGATATATTATTTTCACATAAAACAATGTATATAACTAAATATCCCAGAAGATTTTCAGTGTCAGTTTTTAGGAATACTGCACTTGGCTAAATATAATGACATTCCCAATTATATTTTTTGAGTTTTAATATCTATGTGGGTTAAATCTATGGAAGATTTGAGTCATTGAGATGGTAATCTAGTTTGAGAATGTAATAGAGTATTTTTAGTTTCTGTCCCAGGAGAGTCCTGGTTAAGTCAGTATGAGAACCTTCCAATCAAAATTTCAAATGCCGTTACAAATGTTTATGGAAGAAAAAAGGATTTAATAAACCCAAAATAACATGTATACTGAGATCAAAATGTAAAAGGTCATACACATGTAGAAACTGACAAGCTGATTCTAAAATGCATATGGAAATGTAAAGGACCTAGGATCTCCAAAGCAAAGAACCAAGTTGTAGTAACTTCAAATCTGACTTCAAGGCTAAAAGTACAGCAACCCTAACAGTATGGTACTGGATGAGAATCAACAATAGATCAACAGAATAGAGCAGAAAGCTCAGAAATATTGTTATGTTTATTTGATTATCAACAAAGGTGCTTAAAGCAAGCCAATGAGGAAAAGAAAGTTTTCAACATATGATGTTGGAATAACTAGATACTACATGAGGAAAAGAATGAAATTCAATTCCTATCTAACACCATACTCAAAAATTAATTCAAGATGGGATATAAACCATATATTTAAAATAATTAAGTTTTAGTAGAGAAGAAGAGAATATATTCATAACTTGGTCTAGGCAAAGATTTTTAGATATGACCAGGAAAAACATTTTAAAAATTAACAAATTAGACTGAACTATGATAATTCATTTGTCAAAACTCAATGAACATTAGCTTAAGATTTGAGCATTTCATTGTAAAATTTTACATCAAAAGAAAAAACCTAAACTGATACTGAGTTAGCACAGTACTTGCTCGGCCCATAACTGCAGTTATTTCTAGGAGCTAGAGTTAAGAGGGGCATTTACAAATGTCCATATTCAAATATAAGTACTAAAGAGAAGCTTGGCTTAGAGAAAAAATAGTTAAAGGATTATTTTTAATAGCAACAACCTAGAAGTATCCTAACAGAATCAACAGACGAATAGATAAATCCTGATGATTCACAAAATGTATTATTACTACATGCTATATGCAGAAACAAATTAAACAGCAAATTATAGCTAAAGAATTTGAAGAATGGTTAAAGAAATCAGAGATATTTAACAAGATATTCAGCATGATAATTGTATGCCTCCCAACTCCCAAAAATTCCAGTCTGTCCAGAACCTCAGAATGTGAGTTTATTTGGAAACAGGATCTTTGTATATGTAATTAAGATGAAGTCACAGAGTGAGAGTGGACCCTAGAACCATTGACAAGTGTTCCTTATAAGAAGGCTATATGAAGGCACAGACACCACAAGGAAGGAAGGAAGCCTGTTGAAGACAGCGGCACTGATTGGAGTGATGCAGCTATAAACCAAGGATTGCCAAGAGCCACCAGAAGCTAGGAAAAGACAAGAAACGATTTTCCCATAGCCTTCAGAAGGAACGTGGTCCTACCAATATACTTGATTTCAGACTTCCAGCCTCCAAAACTGAGAAAATAAATATCTGTTGTTTTAAGCCACTGAGGTTGTGGTAATTAGTTATGGAAGCCCTAGAAACTAACACAAAGATTGAAGAGAAGAGACATTATATCTGCATCTAAATATTTCATACAATGTAACTTCAGAGACCACAACTGAGACCTATAAATGGGATGTTTAAAATGAGAAACATGAACTTTAATATAAGGTTCTAAAAATGGATAGCTGTCCAAAAATGGAATGAGTTGTCATATAAGGTAACTGAGCAACCCGCAACCCATTATCTGTAAAGTTCAAGTGGAGGCCAGATAATTTAGCAGTTTAGAAATTATTCCTCTTTGGGATGGAATTTGGGCTACAGAACTAATGCCCTTCCAAATGTTAACAATCTATGATTCTTTTATATATTATGTTATATACCACAGTATTAAATTTATTAAACAAAGTTAAGATCTGAAGTTCCCAAAGAACTTTATACTTTCCTTTATATGTGGAAAAAGTGACCAATGACAAGTCATCTCTTTGGAAAGACTAAATAAGAAGTCATAGAATATAGTTTAACCTATACTGAGAAATTATTGGAGAAACAAGGGTCTGCCTAAATTATTTTAGTATGTTCTTGGAAGTGAAGTTTGCACACCTATACACAACCTGCCCAAATTTAAAGACCATTTTATCATAAGGATATTCACAGCTAAAATGTTGACTAACAATCCAGAAAAGCCTTAATTGTAAAAGGCTACCTTTGCTCCTTTCTGAAATGCTAGTAATCCGTTATAGTTAGCCTGAAAGAATTCCCTGAATGTGGTATGCTAACTCCAATCTTTCTTTAAAACAGAACTGACAAAAGCTTTAAATACTATTGTAAGAGAAAACAAGGGTGGACTATAAAAATTAGGCCTAATAAAACTAGATTGGTTAGAAGGTAATAGAGTACTATGTAAGGATTCAGAGAACAATTCCATTTAATACAAATGAAATATTCTTTTCCAACTTAAAAAGATTCTAACTCCTATAAAAGTTTGTAGGAATGTCCCTATGAGGAAAGGGAGAGATATCTATAAATAAAATTCACGTGGATTATTTCAAGAGGGACAAATATATTGTCAGAATATTTCAATTCTAAAATATAATCATCTTACCAGCTCCAAATGGCACATAGGCAAACTTCTCTCCTGATGCTGGGTTATCCTGTAAGTAACGATCGGGATTAAAGTCCAGACGTTCTATCCATGAGTCTTTAAGTCTATGATTGACAGTAGGAGAAACACACACCTGATGTCCCGGAGGAATGGTATATCCTGCCACAGTCTATAAACAAAAGCAACACATTTCATTAGAGAATTTTAAAATGTGCTACCAAACAAATCAGATCATTGTATCATAAACCATTAATGTACATGACATACATATACCGTGTTTCCCCGAAAATAAGACCTACCCATAAAATAAGCCCTAGCAGGATTTTTAAGCATTTGCGTAATATAAACCCTACCCCAAAAATAAGACCTAGTGATGGGCGTGGCTACGCAGTGTATCTGCACAACCCATGCATTTTGTCACTAAGCGGCAAAGAAGACCAGCCATTCTCATCTCAACAGCTACTATCCCAGAGGTGACCGGAAAGGTGCAGGCAGCCCCACCAACAAGGTTGGCTCCCATTGTCAGGTCCCGGCCATCTTGTGTGTGCTGCAAGCTGAGGCTTTGAGGGAAAAGTCTCCTCAGTGAAGTGAGGAGCGGGAAGCTCCGCTTTAGGTATTGTGTGTCCCCAGGGGGAAGAAGGAAAGCTGTGGCTGCCATTTTACTCAGCACTGTGGGCCTCTCTCATCCCCCACAAACACCAGGGGATATGGGAAAAGTTTCAGCAAACAGTCTTCTCCTGAGCCCAGAGAGATCATATCTGCTCCACTGTGCAGACTGGACCCAGTGCTCACTGGATCTCTGATAAATAAGCCAGCCCTGCTCATTTAATGAGAGCTCTATTGCTAGACATGAGAGATTGGGGCCAACGGTTCTAAAGGAAATAGAGTTGCAAGAAATTCGAGATGGAATTCAGGGTTCGGAGAGTTATAATGATGTTCCAGAAGAAGACGACTTAACTATATTTGAATAATGTAGATTGTTGTACCGTACTTAAAAAAAAATAATACATCCCCTGAAAATAAGCCCTAGGGTGTCTTCTTAAGGAAAAATAAATAGAAGACCCTGTCTTATTTTCAGGGCAACATGGTAATGCTCCATGATTTACAATGGGGTTATGTCTCAATAAGCCCATCATAAAGTTTAAAAATAAGTTGAACCATCATAAGTCAAGGACCATATGTATATATATTTAAAAACTGGCTTAGATGATAGGCCAACTAAAATTTATTTCCACACAAGATGATTTAACTCAAGATGATGATTTAACTCAAGTGAGCCAACATTGGTTTGAAAGTGTAGAGTACACAAACTCATAATGCCTCAGAATTAGCAGTGGAATTTCAGGGACCCTTTCACTGTCCAATTTATATGCTTCACATTAAAATTTTTTATAGCAAAACATTTTTAAAACCAATGAAAAAATACACTTCTACTTTAAAAACCCCAATTGTTAAATAAAAATGCAGAGTATGATTAGCATTACAGATTGACTAGCAACAAATTATGACTGTATACTCTCTATACTTCTGTAAAAATATTCATATATTTAGAACATATAAAATTGAAAATGATGTAGAAGTGATGATTCCTCTACTTCTTTAAAAAATTTTATTTGATGCTATTCTATTTTCTCTTTTTGATAAACAAAAACTGGGGGCGTATGGGGGGGGAGATCTAGCCAGGAGACTTACCTGAGGAGTTTTGGCCATTCTCATCATGGTCATTATAGGAGGTCTAAGTCTTAATGTTTCCTTTATACAGCGATCAAGTAAATTTAGATCCTTCAGCTAAAAAGAAAAAGCATTTCCTGATTTTTACAAATATTTAACATATATAAACAATATAAAACGTTATTTTAATCTCTTGGTTTAGTACAGGATAGCTTGCATTCTAGGCGGAAGTGCAGAGAACTGGTTCAGAGTATTATTATCATGCTCTATCACTGTCCATGATCAGTAGGGGGGAAAAGGAGGGCAAGAAAATAAGAGAGGTGATCATTCTGAAGAATGGCATAGTAAGGAGCTACAAAAATTCACTCCTCAAAAAATGAGAACATTAGCAAAAATCTCAATGTCAACTTTTTCAAAACTCTAGAAAATTAACCAAAGGCTTACAACAATCTAAAGAGAGTTAATTCAACAAAAAGAAATGTGAATCTTGGAGAGAACAGCAAGCTCTGTGGTAGTGTAACATGTACTACTCTCATCCTCCTCTCCCCAGATCCATGGTAGCACTGGAAATCAGCATAGCAACTACAGTACAGTGCTGTGAAAACCAGCAGCCTAAACTATTAGAGGAGCCAAAACAAATTTGTCAAAAACAATCAGCAGAAATTGTTTACCATTGCAGTACTTGAGGTGGTGATATCAATTGGAGTTATCAAGAGATAGAACAAAAAGTTTAAAGGAAAAATAGGGAATGAGATATCCAAAGGAGACTTTGAAAAATTCTAACATAAGGGAATCTTGAAAGCCACATACATGTTCAGAACTATGCATATACCTAGGTAAGATCTGAGAGGACTCTAATCTCTCATCTCAGGCTGACCTGCATACACAGGAAGTAAAGGCCCTCACAGAGTTATAACTGCCTGTTGGAGTGTTGATAACATGCCCTAACATACACACACACACAGCAAGCCCTGGGAGACTTACTCTTCAAGGCACTTCAAGAAATCTCTATCCAATTAGATGGCCACTAAAGTAAATAAACAAATACTTCGGTGACCTCACCAGACAAAGAATACAGACTTTATATAATTAATCCAGGAAGAGCACTAAACAAGCAGCAGCAACAACAACAAAACAGCAATAACAAATCCAAAGAGGGGGGAATCTGATGAGTTACCACAATTAAATATACAGTTTTCAACAAAAAACTATTTTAAAAAAAAGAGGGAAAAAAATGAAAGTATGACCAGTACATAGTAAAAAAGCAATTTAAAAGAAACTGTTCCTGAGAAAGCCCAGACATTGGACTTTCTAGATAAAGAAATTAAATTAGCTATTATAAATAAGTTCAAAGAAGTAAACTATGCCTAAAGAATTAAAGTATAAAACAATGCCTCACTAAAGAATATTAACAGATTTTTTTTGAAAGAACCAAATCAAAATTCTGGAATTGAAAAGTATAAAAACTGAAATGAAAAATTCACTAGAGGGGATCAACAGCAGATATGTACTGGCAAAAGGAAGAATAACATCAAAAATAATAAAATACTTAAAGTATTCACAAGAGAAGTAAGAGCCTTGTTCACTGAAAACCATAAAACATTGTAGAAAGAAATTAAAGACGACCTAAAAGAATGGAAAGACATCTTGTGTTCATAGATCTAAAGACTAAAATTGTTAAGATGACAAATGTTCCCAAACTGATATACTGATACAATGCAATCATTATCCAAATCTCAGCTACAAAAAAAATTGACAAGCTGACCCTAAAATTCATATGGAAATTAAAGGGACAAAAGATAGCTAAAACAGCCTTGAAAAAGACAAAGTCAGACGACTTACACTCCCAAATTCAAAAGTTAATATAAAACTACAGTAATGGCATCAGAATAAACATATAGAGATCTATGGAATAGAATTGAGAGCCCAGAAGTAAAGTCTTAAATTTACAGACAATAGATTTCCTTTTTTTCAAGAGACAGTATCTTGCTATATTGCCCAGGCTGGACTTGAACTCCTGGGCTAAAGCAATCCTCCCACCTTAGCTTCCCAAATAGCTAAGACTGCAGGCATGTGCCACCATGTCTGGCTATGATAGGTGTTTGACAAGACGATTCAATGTAGAAAGAATAGTCTTTTCAACAAACAGTGCTGGGACCACCAGATAACCACATGCCAAAGAATGAAGATCTCATGAGATACATTGAGATACACATGAGATACACAAAAATTGACTCAAAATGGATCAAAGACTTAAATGTAAGAGATGAAACTATAAAACACTAAGAAGAAAACATAGGAGTAAATATTCATACCCTTTCATTAGGCAATGGTTTCTTAAGACAACAAAAGTACATCAAGAAAAAAATACAGGAACTCCTACAACTCAACAATAAAAAGGTAAATAACCCATGTTTAAAATGGGAAGGGGATCTGAGAAAATATTTCTCCAAAGAAGACATACCAAAGTCAAAAGAGCACATCAGGGGCGGATGGCAGTGATGGTCTGGAGAGTGACCCGGGTTAATTTTTTCTGTGTGAGAGCAACTGGGTTGTCTGCCTTTGTACATTTGGAGGGAGAATGAGCAAAAGGCTTGCAAGTTTTCTTTTCCTAGGCCTGGCAAGTGAGGAAATGACTTTTGGGTTTTACTTTATTACTGGTCATTTACCAAGTGAAAGCATCCGGAGTATGCTATCAATTAGGCCCCTGGATAGTAAGCCTTGACTGAAACAAAAGAACCCATGGATCTGATGCCCTGTCTCCTAAAAGTCTCTAAAGGAGTAAGTTCCTCATACAACCTGACATCTTTCAAATAATGACAATAAGCAGAAAAGTGCCCCTGACTCCTTTAAATCATTGTCATTGTTTACTACCTTTATCCCATAAGATAAGATAAGCATGTCTAACCCAAATTCAATGCAGAGCACTTAGGCAACAAGTGTAAATAAACAGCAATTGAAAAAAAAAAAAAAAGCACATCATAAGACACTCAACATCATTAGTCATCATGGAAATGCAAAACCAAAATGAAATAGCACTTCATACCCATTATAATCAAAAAGTCAGATAACAAGTTTGGTGAGGATGTGGAGAAACCACAACCTTCATACACTGTGGAATTGAAAAGTTGTGCAACTACTTTAGAAAACACTCTGGCAGTTCCTCAAAGTTACTATATCACTCAGCAATTCTACTTCTAAGTATGTACGACCCCGAAACAGAAAACATATATCCACACAAAATCAGTACACAAATGTTTAGAGCAGCATTATTCATGATAGCCAAAAGGTAGAAACAACTCAAATATCCATCAACTGATGAATGGATAAACAAAATGCATTATATCCATATAATGGAATATTACTGGCAATAACATGGATTGAAGTACTAATACATACTACAACATGCACGAACCCTGATAACGTAAGTGAAAAAAGCTAAGTCACAAAAGTCCATGTATTCTATGATTCCATTTATATGAAATGTCCAGAATAGGCATACCCACTGAGACAAAAAGTAAATAACTGCTAGCCAAAGGCAGGAGGCAGGGGGAATGGAGCATGATTGCTAATAGGTACTGGCTGTCTTTTGGAAGTGCTGTAAATGTTCTTCAATTAAATTGTGATGCTGGTTTACCAACTCTGAATATATTAACAACCACTAAATTATATACTGTAAAGGGATATATTTTATGGTATGTGAATTGCATATCAATTAGCCTATGATATAAAAAGTTACTAAAATCAGAAATGAAAGAGGGGACATCACTATCACTACTGATCTTACAGAAATAAAAAGGATTAAAAAGAATACTATCAACAACTTTATGCCAACAAACTAGGTAACCTAGATGAAATGGACAAATTCCTATAAAAACACAAACTACTGAAACTGACATAAGAAATAGAACATCTGACTAGACCTAAAACAAATAAGCTGTATTAGTAATCAAAAAACTTCCCACAAAGTAAAGCACAGACACACATGGCTTCACTGGTAAATTCTGCCAAACATGCTAAAAAAGGATTAATACCAACAATTCACAAACTCTTCCAAAAAATAGAAGAGAAAGGAAACACATTCAAACTCATTCTATGAAATAAGTATGACCTTGATACCAAAACCAGTTCAAGACATCACAAAACTACAGATCAAAAACTGGATCTAGCAGCATATAAAAATACAGCAACATAATAAAGCAGGATTTATCCCAGGAATACAATTGACATCTGGAAAAATCAATGTAATGTAATACACCATAATAAAGGATGAAAGAACACAAAAGATAACAAGAAGAGAATATAACCAGAGTTTACTTCCAACATAGAATCTCAGGTTGTACAGTGCATCCTTCTCTCTTCCTTTCCACCCAGCAAGCCAGGTGTAGTGTTTATGAATTTCTAAAATCCCCCTTACTACCACTACCACTTTTGAAAGTCTCTACTAATGCCCAGGCCATTCTGGACATGTAGAAGTCTAGGTAATTCGGAGGCTTCTACACTTCATAACACACACATAATATCCTCTATCTAAAGAAGCCAGACTTTGAAGCGGAGAAGTAGGTACCAAAGAAACAACCCCAAGGATCTCTAAGGTATCAACTCGAAACATATCTGATAAAGTTTAATGGCAAGAAGCAGTATCATTAGGATATTTTATGCAAGGTTATGGGGAATAATCTGAAAATAAAGCTAATCAATTTAAGATATATAAAAAAAACCTCAAATTATCCCTTTTAAAAATTAACTGCAGATACCCAAAGTCATAAGGCAGTGATGAAACTGAAAAATCCAACGAACCTGGTCGAAAGTTAAAGGAGGCAGATCCTCTCCACACACTGTTTTCTGTTCTAAATAACATTTTTCTTGAAGTGTTTTGTTTCTGGCCAAAAAGAAGCCCATCCAGGCACTAGTAGTTGAGGATGTATGCTGCCCCGCCAAGAGCAGTCCAATAAGCATCCCTGCTACTTCATCATCTGACAAAGGACGCCCATCCCTGTGGAATGAACCACACACACAAATGTAACACTTTGGCAGACACATGTCATGCCTCAACCTTTAAATAAAGTGTCATAATGAATACATTTTTCAGGTATAATAGTCTCTTGCATTTGCCTATCACAAGTCAGCGGGTTCCCCACACCGCCTTACAAAAGAGACAGACCAGTAGAAAACAGGATTTTGATTACAAAAGACTTCATCACAGTTTATTAGCAAACTTTTACCCAGCCACTTCCATGCCCAGCCACTGGAATTCTAGTAAAGTGTGAGATCCCAGTAATTTATGTCTCAACAATTTTAAAAGTCCAAGAATCATAGCTACCAACTTCTTTTGCCAGCATCATTATTTTTAAACTAGAAATATTATTCAACTATGTTTTAATATATAATTTCCTACTTCAGCTTAATATGTGATCTAAACAGCTCTTACTTGTATGTAGACTCTAGTAAAGTTTGGAGAATGTCATCAACTTTTTCTTCTGACTGTCTGCGTTTCTGGATTGCCTTATAGAAAATATTTTTGATTTCTCGATGAGCTCTGTCCCTGCGTCTATAATTCAAAAATAATGATTTTTTAAAATAAAGCAATACTTTCTAGGATCAAATTCATTTTTAAAACCAGGACCTAGCTTAAAGCAACCTTATTGTATAAACTTGAATGACTCTAAAATAACTGACAAAAACTCAGAACCAAGAAAAAATAAGTAGTAATGAAAACCTTACATCATTGAAAATTTTCACGGCCTTTAAGGGAAAGAAATGTGTTTAAATATATATATATATACATATATGTATATTTATATATATATAAATGTATATATATCCTAGATTCTTAGATATATATATCTCCTAGATTCCTAGATATATATATCTCCTAGATTCTTAACACATTGCCTGTGTTCAAACTAAAGGCCTAAAATAAGCAAGAAATTCCTTAAGAAGCATTTTCCAGTTCAACAGAAAGTATAATACTCTTAAATTAACATGAAATTACAATTTTAACACCAATCAAGCTTGAAGCAGAACAGTCACTCTGGTTCTTCTACAGGATTTGATCCTACTTTTTATTTTCTAATACAACAGTTTTGCAGGGGGCAAAAATAGTAGTAGATTCAGAAAACAAGCTTTAACTCCTAAAATTTTACCTTTAAAAAGGGTGCTATGTAGCAGGTACTATGTTGTGTTTTTCATGAGTTACCCACTTTATCTGCCTGTAAGGTAAATACTAGTATCCTCAATTTATAGCTACCTGCATAAGATCACACAGTCAAAGAGCATTGGAGCTGGAATCTAAAACCAGACAATCTGACTTCTAAGCCCCCTCTCTTAAACCAAGCCTTATAATAAAAACTCCTGCCCTGCTTCACTTATAAGACTGTTACTGAGGATCAACTGAGATCGTATGTACAGAAGGGAAGACGACACTGACGCTTAACAGTATGAATACAGTACAGCCAGGAAAACCTAAGGCCTGTTTAAGAAAGTGTATGGAATAATCTGGTTAAACCAGTCGGTATGAGTGAAACAGAGAAAGACTGGGCTAAAGTGGGAAGGGCCTATCATACCAAACTTAAGAATTCTGACTTCATCCAGGAGATAGGAGAGGTGGAAATAGGCTTGATGCACATTTATAGAAAACCCAATATGGGCCAAGGGTTGTGCTGGGTGTTCTAACATAATATATATAAAAATATTTTGAAACTCCAAAGCTCCTTACAAATGTAAGGTGGTAATGAGTTCCAGAGAACTTTAGAGAACCTCTCCTGACTCTCCCTTTTACTCCCATCCCTCTTTTATGCTGTAAATAGATAGAGGGGTCGGAATAGAAGGAAAAGGAAGTGCCAGATTAACTCTTCCCCATCTCTTACCTAAACACAGAAATGCATCAACAAAGATACAGAAAACCTAATAGGCAAGACACTAAGCTAAACATCAAGTCCTAAGAGCTATATTGTTTTGTATCAGAGACAGTCCTGACCTTAAGGAAATCACAGGACAGCTGGCATGGTGATACACAGAAAATTAAGTAAAGGCACAAATATTCAAAAGAAATTTCACAATACACTAGAAAGCCATCAAAGACTTTCAAATAAGTACTTGGGGGAGGGCTATATTACTTTTAGGTTCAGAGACTTTCCTGAGTACCAGGAACATGTGAGATAGGCAGGCTTCAAAATACTAAACAGACAACAAATCACCTTCTTAATAAGCTGAAACTTACTTAAAATGAGCTCACTATATAAAAAAAAACCTGTCTTGAATTCTTACAGAAGAACAGTGATTCATAATCTCCCCTAATTTGTATGTTTTACCTATCAACACTACAGTAATTATACAAAGGTACATAACCAAGTGTAATGTCTTCTTTATCCATACCTGAAACTAGGCAAAGGCAGCCAACCTGGTAACAGCCAAGCTGCATGGCTAAAACCGCCATCCAAATCTGCATACAGCTGTGCCACCTTCTCATTGAGTTGACTTCTGATTTCCTTTCCATGTAAACAATGGCTAGCTGTTAAAATTATGAGCTCAGAAAGAGCTTCAAACAAATCTAGGGGGAAAAAGATCATTCCCATTACTACTTCCAAAAAGTCTTTTGAAATATTCTGTTTTCTTGACAATATAAAGGTATTGTGAAGGAAAACTGAGAATAAAAACTCAAGAACAAACAAGATTCTATTTGCACCATCAATAAAAGTCTATAGATAGATATGTGGCTATGCACAACATGAAGAAAGAGAGGCAAGAGACCCAATTATGAGAGGTACCCTCCCCCCTATGGATAGCCAAAACAGAAGCCACAAAGGCATGTCTAAACCCCACTCATGAGCTCTTCATCATTGTGAAAAGATAAAATGAAGATAAAAATAAATGTGGTTATCTGATTTCCAGGTCACAGTATAACAAAAGCAGCAAAATATTAAGACATATGAGGACAACAATGAGGCACTTCCCATGGAACAGCAGTCCAAAGACTGAAGACTAGATTATTCCCCAAGTCAAAAGTAGGATGATCAGGACTAAAATTGAAGTTTTGGCCATACATAAGAAAACTGTAACTAATCTCACTAGTTGGTATACCCCAACACTAGAGATAGATTCATCAGGCACACACATATTGATGACATAAAAACTATCTAATTCCCTGTTCTTTATTTCCACATTTACCAAATGAACTGCCAATCATTTGGCTTTCCAATTAGATTTCCCCATAAAGAGATTGGTAAATATTCTGGTCTTCTTGGTGCTACAATTATATATCTCACATGTATTTATTAAACTGGCATTCCAATTTACACATCAGCTTCTTGTATGGTGAGAAAATATATCATACCAACTTTAGTTATACTAAAAATAGTTTCTGGCCTTTAATAAAAGCTAAAGACCAGAGCCAGAATGTGGTGATCTGCTGCCCTGTGGGCAGATGATGCTTCCTACTATGGGCACAGCAATTGCCTCTGAAGACAATACTGACTGCAGTCCAGTATAAAGACTGGATTCTCAGTTACAACCCCACAGTAATAGCATGTCCCTTCCATTAAATCCAAGGTAGTTTAACATACATTGTAGTTTCTTTCAAATACACTACCCACACGCATACTTTAGATTTCTATTCACAAAAAAGTAGGAATGGGACAAATGTAAAATGTTTGGCTTACTTTTTTCCCCACTTTCTCCCCAACTTTGAAAGTATTCTTTTGTTTCCTTTTCAATTATAGAAACATGCTGTCTAAAGTGGGCTATGTTAAGGCCACTTTTTAACATTTTCTTCTGTTCCAAGAAAACCTTCAAAAAAAAAAAACAAAACAAAATTAAGGATATACTGCATTAAAACATGTTTGTTTTATCATAAGATCCATTTAGGTTATTACAACTATGTAACACTAAGATAACTAATGGTTTTAACCCTTTGGGGGCATTTATATTTTAAGAGTCTAATAAGCTGTGTGAGAAAATGAATAGCTACCTGAGCAGAGGGATCTTCCAGACCCCTTTCTTTTGGCCTTGAGGAGATTCATCCCTCGCCCCCATCCCTCCTCTATCCCCAGACCAACATTTAATGTTAATTTTTAATTGCTACTCGAGGGTACTGGGTTATGTGTGTTACATACACAGCCAGAGCCCACACCAAGCAGTTGGGCCAAATATCTGATTTGTATTCTGTATCAACTTACTTTAATATTTGAATTTAAGGGTAAAACACACACACACACAAACATATCCCATACCTGAAGTACTGCATTAAAAGAGGACCTCTAATATCAGCAATCTATAACTCAAAATAGCTTTTATGCTAGAATTTCAGGCAAACTGGGCAGGTAGGAAGTCCTTTTGATGAAATAATGGGATTTCTTATTACCCTCTCATATTAAATCCCAACATGCAAAGTTATCATTAATTGCATTTCTTTGTACAGGAAGCCCTTTAAAATCGCTTAGTCCATGCCAACAAGTATAAAACAAAATACCAATTCCTTGTCAGTTATCCATGGCTTTTCTTCTTTTAAAGGTCTCTTGGCTCTTCATATTTTTAAACCAAAGAATAAATTCTTTCTACATTTTAAATGTAGAATACCACACATTAGCTATAACTATTAAAGTATAGATTTGTCTTTATTCACAACAACAGTGTCACCTACCGGATTAGGCACGTCATATGCAACTCCCTTCCCAAACACAGGTGTTGTCAGACGACTGTAGACGTCTTCTGCATTCAGGTCTTCATTTTTACTATTAAAAAGCAGTGCAGCAGCATCACTCCCCAGAAGGTAAGTAAACGTCTTGCCTACCATGGTAAAACTAAACACGGGTCCATACTAAAGAAAGAAAGGTACCCATAGTGATGTTACCAAAGGAAAAAAAAAGTAGCACTAAGGCACTAATTTTTTTACATCACAAAACAATACATTGTTGAAAAAATAAAACATACATAAACTTTAAGGCAATTCTTTTCATCTTGCCATATTCCCCTGTTCCCATCTTTGTCCAAATGTATAATTACATCTATCCAGTTGCAAATGTAGTATAAATACGACTTTTTATTCTGCCTTTTTCACTATTTATACTGAAAATATTTGTTTACACAGATATCACAATGTCAATTTACTAAACTGCTCTTTCATTACTGGACATATGGGTGATGTGTCAGGCCTTTTTTTTTTTTTTACTTACTATAGATAATTCTGTGACAAATATCTCTGAAAACAGATTTTTTTCTCCTTTGGTTAAAAATAAATTTACAGGAGAAGCCCAACAATATGACCTTTTCTACAGTACTTGCTGTGTCAAGACACTATTTGGTTATCAGTTTTACCACTATCTCACCTACATCGAATGATTTCATTTTTTATTTTTTGTTAATCTGGTTAGGTGTTGAATGCTTTCTTTCTCTTGGAGTTTTCTGATTATTGAAGACTAGGATTTGTGGATATAATCATGAACAAAAATCCTGTTCTTGACTCACCAAACTTAGTCTACTGGAATAGACACAAATTAATCAATCCCATTAACAAATGCAAAATTGCAAATGTGACAAGTATAACATAAAGCAATGCAACTCTGTGATGAGAAAACCTATAAAAGAGAGATCTAAGATAGAAAAGGACACCTGAGCTGAGACCTGAAGGATGAGTAGGAGTTAGGTTAGCAGCCACGCATACACAAAGGTCCTAAAGGTGAGGAAGAGAGAGGGGAAGGATGAGAGATGAGATGAGAGATTGAGCATATAAGGCAGCACCTAGATCATATATACATACAGCCAAATTAAGGAAGTTTTTAAATGGGTGACACTTGAGAATTTTTCAGAGAAAAAGGGAAAGATCCAGGCGAAAAAGAAGTCAACTATACATTGAGCAAAACAAAAATAGCATAAGGTTCCTGAGACAAAAGAGAAGAATGGAAAAGGTCAGCCTCCCATAGGAGGCAAAATATAGTATAATAAAATCAAGGTTGTAAAACACAGTAAACTATGGCATGAGATTCTGAAGCCAGACTGCCTGGGTTCAAATCCCAGTTCCACTACCTCTTAGCTATGTGACTTTGCTTCTATAGTCAGAGAACTTAACTCTCTGCTTTAGTTTCCCTCACCTATAAAATGGTACTAATAATAATGGTACCTACTTCACAATCATCTGCTGTCAAGATTAATTTCATATACACACACACACACATACATACATATATATAGGGCAGAGAAAAGTGCCTTAGCTTATCTAGTACCTTAATAACTTGTTTTCTATTATTATTATTATTAAAAGCATAGGCTCAGAAATCTGACCATGTATAAACCCTGGTGTGGCTACTGTCTAACGATGAGCCCAAGAACAAATTATATAACCTCTCTGCTTCTCAGTTTTGTCATCTATAAAATGGATAAATCTGAAAAGGTTTTTTTTTGTTTGTTTGAGACAGAGTCTCACTCTGTTGCCCGAGCTAGAGTGCCATGGCATCAGCCGAGCTCACAGCGACCTCAACTCTTGGGCTCAAGCAATCCTTCCGTCTCAGCCTCCCAAGTAGCTAGGACTACAGGCATGTGCCACCATGCCTGGCTAATTTTTCCTATATATTTTTAGTTGTCCAGCTAATTTCTTTCTATTTTTAGTAGAGATAGGGTCTCACTCTTGTTCAGGCTGGTCTTGATCTCCTGACCTTGAGTGATCCTCCCGCCTCACCCTCCCAGAGTGCTAGGATTACAGGCCACCTGCCCATGCCTGAAAAGGTTTTTGTGGAGCTTCACTGAGATAAGCACTAAGTACTGGCACAAAGTAAGTATTTCATAATTATTAGTGTGATAAGAAAAGAAAATAGGATTATGTAAATATAAGTAGGTTTGTATGTTTGAAATTGAGAACACGAAGGAGTGGATACTTTTTAATACCTCTTTAAATAGGAGAGACAAAGTCATCTGCTTTGATGGAGAGGTAGAAAGATTCAGAAGTTTACAAAAGTGAAAGTTTGAATTAGTCATTGTGGTGAATAGAAAAGTAACCCAATCATAGGAATACAACAGGATTGTTGAGCAATATTAAAACTATGTTCAAAGTAGGCAATTATAAAATTAGGAAAGAATGCGGTGCAAGGAAGAACAAAACAATTGGTTCTCTTCAAGGCTGAAGTTGTGCCATTTGAGAACAATGAAAAGATCCAAGGACAGGGAAATTTAAGGTAGAGTATTAGCAAGAGTGTAACTAAAATGAGGGACCACGGACTCAATGTGGAAAAGAAGGAAAGTGAAGAAATGAGACTGATAGATCAAGAGAAAGAAAATGGAACAATGGACTGGAAGATCTACTGAGGTCTGGGAATGGTTATTACTGAAGGAGCTGCACAAGCAAACCAAAAGTATGCTAAGAATAGAATGTCTACATTAATATTATAGAGGTAAAAAAAATTAAGACTGACAAGTCCAAAGTGAGACTGTGAAGTAAATGGCTGAACTGGTACAAGAAAGCTCATTACAGAGAAAAAAGGCAAAGATTTGAGTGGCCATGGTGTTGTGTGGGACACCCAAGTGGATCCTAAAGTCACAGAAGATGTGTAGAGCAGGTTAGAAAATCCCAGACATGCAAAGTTAAGAAAAATGAAGGTCAGTTAACATCAATTTTAACTATAATCAGTGAATACAAAATATAGAACAGTAGTTTTTAAACTAAACTATAGTTGCCACAACCACAGGTTGCCTGAGTATTGTCTCAAAAACTACACCAGGACATGGCAGAAGGTATAAGAGCAGCTTCAATTTTGTTTCCTATACTGGGGGATATGCTTAAGATTACAATTTTTTTTCAATGTTCTGTCATTAAAAGAAAGTTTAAAAAGCACTTATCTACTTTCATTTCCTCTTATTATTTGAAAAACTTACCTTCTCATATGCATTTTCTAGAAATTCAATTGGACTTTTCCCAAATGCTATGGCATGCCCAAGGAACGGAATTGGAGAGAAAATGTATGGTGGACTTTTCTGCAAGAAAAAAAGAAAAAATTCAGTTCTCATTTCATTTTAAAAGAGAAACCCAGTTTAGTTTCATGACCAAAAAAGTAAATAAAACTTGCCATTAATACTAAAAAAAGTTACCAAAAAACAAAGCATCAAAAGTAACTTAAAAACAGTCAAACTGCAAATATCTTAGGAGAGTAACTATCATAAAAAAAGAACAGAAACTCAAAACATAGTTTAAGATAAATGACTATAGACAAACACAAAGGCACTACAATTTTAAATGACTGTCCACAATCTGGCAAGTATTACTTTCTAACCACTAATGATGAAAAAACAAAAAGGTCAAACTGCAGTCATCCCTCAGTGTAGGGGGATTGGTTCCAGGACACCCCACAGACACCAAAACCTAGGGATGCTCAAGTCCCTTATATAATATGGCACAGTATTTGCATATAACCTATACATATCCTCCCATATACTTTAAATCATCTCTAGATTACTTGTAATACCTAATACAATGTAAATTCTACGCAAATAGTTGTTTTACTATATTGTTTATTTGTATTATAATATTTTTATTATTTTTTATTGGGTTTTTTCCTGAATATTTTTGATCCACAGTTGGTTGAATAGCCACACAGAACACAGAATAGCCACACAGAACACATGGCTCCAGAGGACCCACTATCTAGTTTCTTCACCACTTAGTCCCAGAATCTTGCCTAAAAAAGGTAAGATACATAGAAAAGCATGTATAGAAAAAGACAAATAGCAACTTGAGGTACAGTAAGAAGGGAAATGGTTAAGAAGCTTCATTTATGAGTAAACAACGCATTTCATACTCCTCTCACTACAAATGACCAGACCCACTGATTTTTAAAGAGTCTATCAGCTGTAGTAGGAAATCTCGAGCACTCATCACAAAAGGTATTTTAGATGCCACAAAATGAGATCTGCACATTACAACACTAAGTCTCCTGGAAATCAAACTTGCAATGATGAAAAAGGATGATACGCCTCAGATCTTCGGTGGTCTCAAAAAGAAAAGAGCGCCACAACCTCACTGTACTCCTCAATTAAAACAATCTATAAACACTAAAGTACCTTTGTCTTTTCAAAGACAAATACCACTTCCTCAAAAATCCCATGTGTAGGAAAAATAGCAGGCCTCATACCTGGTATGGCTCAAAAAGCTATTTGGTCACTAGTTTCTACATTCCATTGTTAGTTAAAAAGATAGTTTTCAAAAGCTACTTTTTGTTCACTGTTAACTGTGCATTCACCCAATATGTTTGGGAGGTTTTGTAAAAGTAGTGGTCATTAAAGCCGCTTAATTGGAGAAACCGGTATTTATTAGCACCAGCGGAAGACCCTTACCACACTCCAGTCACTCCCACTCTACCGAACGGAACACATCCCCCTTAATACACATACAAATGGCCATTTTGGGTAATGCTACCTACAGCCCACACCACACTGAAAGAGAGCCGCGGCTTCCAATAGCATCACCATCGGAGCCTCCACCACGGGCCCCAACGCCATGACGGCAGTCAGCACGGCCACCCGGGCGCTCAGGGTCACAGCAAGGGCCGCAGCCGCCAATCCAGCCACCACTGCGACCACAAACGCCCAAAGCACGACCCGGGTCAAGACCCCGCACACGGCCAGGGCGGACACCAGGGCCGCGAGCACCAGCCCCACCAGCAGCACAGACGGCGCCAGGTCACTAGCCCGCCCCCCATGCGCCCGCCACCACAGCCACGCCGAGCAGCGTCGCAGTCGCAGCCACCAGCCCCGGGACCGTGAGCGCGGCCGCTCCCCAGCCCTTCTGCCCCCTTAGCCCCGGCGCCCCCGCCCAGGCCCCAGGGGTGCACGTACCGCTCCAGCCGGCAGCTGGACTAGGTGGCCGACAGCGAGGCGGAGCAGGTAGACCAGGCTGAGGGTGAAGGCGCAGGCAACCAGCAGCATGGACAGAAGGTTGCCGCCCGTCACCTTCTCCATCGCTTGTCCCAGCACCGACCCGCCCGCCTGCAGTAAGCCCAGCAACACCATCCCGGCCGCTGCTGCCGCTTCACTCCGCCGGAGACACTACAGGCCCAGGCCGAGGTCCCTACTGCTCCTCCTTAATCGACCGACCGAGAGAAGCGGAAGACCGGCGCCCAGAGGCGACCCCAGACTCCAGATCTCCTACTAAACCCAGTGCCCCGCCCACTCCCGGCTCTCCCACGCGCCACCCGGCGCGTCACAGAACGGGGCGGGGGCTGCCGCTGGCCACGCCCCTTAAATAGCGCTCTACCCTGCGGTCGTCTCCTTGCGCCAAGAGAGGACGTGAAGGAGCTGGCCGCGCCTGTGGCACAAGTGATGCCGAGCTGGCAGAGAACATGGCCAGCGATCACGCCCTAAGAATCGCGGGGCGCCAGGACACAGCGTTAGAGGGGCTGGGCGGAGGGACCGGGCGAAGAGGCCGGGCGAAGGGACGGGCGGAGGGATCCCAGGGGCGAGGCTGATGGGGTCGCGATTGGCAGCGGCGCATTCTGTGATTGCACCGCGCGCGCCTGAGGTGATCTCGGCCTATGTCGCGTCAGCTGGGCTGTGGCGTGAGCACCGCCCCCTGCCTGGCATTCGGACCGCCTGCACCTGCCTGGGTTCAGGGGCCAATCTTGTGGACTCGGAGAGACGTACCCAAATAATCCTTCGGAGCTTGGGGTCGTAAAACGTGAGATCATAGGCGGCGCGTGGTGGCTCACGCCTGTAATCCTAGCTCTCTGGAATGCCGAGGCAGGAGGATCGCTTGAGCTCAGGAGTTGGAGACCAGCCTGAGCAAGAGCGAGACCGGTATCTACTAAGAATAGAAAAATTAGCCGGGCATCGTGGCGCGCGCCTGTGGTCTCAGCTACTCGAGAGGCTGAGGCTGGAGGATCCCGTGAGCCCAGGAGTTTGAGGTTGCTGTGAACTATGCTGATGCTGCTACACTCAGCGGAGGAGGTGGGGGAGAAAGTGAAGTAATGAAGAGCTGACTACACACTGAAGGGTGGAAAGATGAGGTCAGCCCTGTCCCATCCTAGTTAAAATCAGTGGAACAGGTATTAGTAAGCAGCCATAAAGACATTGACTGCCTGGTGAGTTGTATTTAACTCAGGCAAGTTTTGAGCCTGGGGCTTCATGAAGCAAAATGCTGCAGTTGGTTCCGGAAAATGTTACTTGTTGATGGTTCTTATTGTTACACTTAATATTGACAATTTAATTCTAAAAACGTGGATTGCATTGCATATAACTCACAGAAAACAATAAAAAATGAATTAGAAAGGATTGTTTTAATGAAACACTGTGGTCCCAGGGAAAAAAATGTTTTTCTAGTGTGGCAGTCAATGTGTTAACAAATGGTGGTTATTAGGTATGCTGCTGTCAATGGGGAAAAGCCAAAAAATAATTTTAATTAGGAGATTTACTCTGAGCCAAATTTGAGGACTGTGACCCAGAGCCATTCCCAAGAGTCCTTGAGCAAGTGGACTCCCTGTGTCTGGGTTACAGTTGGTTTTATACATTTCAGGGAGACAGGGGTTACAGGTAAAGTCATAAATCAATACTTGGGAGGCATTCATTGGCTTAGCCAGAAAAGGGGGTCCATGTCAAAGTGGGGGCTTACAGGTTATTGGTGGGTTTGAAGATTCTTTGGCTTGTAATTGGTTAAAGACAAAAAGCTTTGTCTAAAGGCTTGGAATGTTTTAACTTAGGAGCTGTTTATCAGAGCTAAGACATGGGACATATATTTGTTGTGTAAATTGAGTACCTGTAGGTTTGTCTTGCATACCCTTAAGCCTGTTAATGGGTTACAAAGGATGTCCCCAAGAAGGGAGGGGGGCATGATAAGGCAGATCTGACCTCCTTCCTCTTGGTAGGCAATTTAGTTTTAGGATATTCCTTTGGCCACTAGGAGTTCATTCAGTCAGCCTGTGGGGGGGGGGGTGAGCCTTAAAATTTTATTTTAGTTCACACTGGGTTATGTGAAAACTTTTTTCAAAATAAATGTAGATGTTATAGGATGTGACGAGCTATTTGGAGGAACATTCCCTGAGAATGCCACTTATGAGGGTGTAGTGGACAGAAAGATTTTAAAGTGGAGAGCTAGTAGTATAGCTATAATCAACCTGATCTCATTCACCCCTGTGGCTTCAAATAAGCATCTTCCTTAAAAGGACTACCAAATTTAACTCTTTCCAGTTCACTAACGAGCTCCTAACCTGATTCATTTATATATTCAACCAACCTCATGAGAGGTTTTGTGTTAAGCCTGGGATACAGCAGCAAATGAGACACAACTGCATGGCCATTGGGGAATGAGTAGGATATCCAGTTGCTGACTAGCAATCTAACATTCATCTCAGTCAGTAAATCCAAAACTACAGCCATTTTCTCCTCCCACCCCTCTGCCAAGCTGCCTCTCCTGTGATGCCTATGTAAATAAAGGGTAGCAATGTGCACACTATTGCCCTCCTCTTTCATGCTTCACATCTAATCAGCCAGTAAATCCCATAATTCCACTAAAAGGTGGCCTTACTAATAATCTACTTGAGGAAAATGAACTAGCAAATAGAAAGTAAGAAAAAATAAACTTACAGCACATAATTGCCCTTTTGAAGAGGAAACTTAACACAATTATCCCCTTTGTTTTGTTTCAATTAAACACCTGTGGCCTAACTCCTTATCTCTAAGAGTTTGTTTCTCAGCCTTGAAGAGCCCTAAAGAGACAGTAGGAATACAAACTCCCCAATCCAGCTCTCTGCCTCAGTTCCAGCCAGAACACATTTGAAGGATTCAGATAAGCTTGCCTCACAGTGAAAAGAGAAAAAATAAAGAGCACCTACAACAGCTTTGCAGCCACTTCTGTCATGAATCTGCTGAAGCAGAGAGGGAAAAAGCCATTTTTACCCTTTGAAAACTCCAAACAGCTTTTCCTCAGCTGCCCAGCACTTCCTTCCTCCGTGGCCACTCCCTCCTTTTCTCTCTGTCTCTCTGCCTTTCTTTCTCAGAAAAATAAACTTTCTACTACTTTTTAATCTGTGTGAAAAATCTTTCTCTGCCCACATATCAATCTCGCATGCTTTCATCCACCACCTTAAAAAGTTCACCTTGCCTATCACCACTGGCTTAGGTAAGGCCCTCACCATCTCACGTCTGCACTGCTGCAACAGTATCATATCTACGTAACCTTCCTACCTTTGGGCTTGTCTTTAATTTGTCTGGGTGTTAAGATACAGCTGTCACTTCTTAAATTGCCAATTAAGCTATGTTGTAATCATCTCCACAGGTTTCCTCTATTAGAAGATAGACTTGAGAACAGTTTCATATTCTGTATTATCCTAATAAAGATAGACTTGATAACAGTTTTTATATTCTGTGTTTATCCTAATACCTATCAAAGTATGATCCATAGCCCTCCAGAGCGCCCCAAGACTTTGAGAGAGTCACAAAGTCAAAGGTCTTTATAACAGTATCTTATTTGCTTTTTTTACTGCTGGAATTTATAGGGATGTTGCAAAAATCAATGGTAAATAAAACTTCTGGGGCCCTAGCACAAATTAGAGACAGTAGCACCAAACTGTTGCCACATACTTGTAAGACAAAAAAAAAAAAAAGCCTGTTTCACTTCAGAATGTCAATGAAATTGTGAACATTAATTTTATTAAATTTCAACCATTGAGTATATCAACCTAAAGAAAGAAACCGAGGCAAAATTAATATAGAGTTTATTTGGGCCAAGGTTGGGGACAACTGCCAAGGACACACTTCCAAAAGAGTGCTTTGGAGAGCAAAGGAGAGATTCAAGTTTGTTTGTTTTCTTTAAAAAAAAAGAAAAAAAAAGGACAAATCAGGAGAGGGAGTGATTACAAAAGTTGTTTGCCAGGAATTGTCATTGGTTTACAGTAGTTAGTGATTGGCTATACATTGTTGGACTCCAGGGTATGAGTTATAGTATGCAGTGTATTGCATTTTATGGCTACTTGGCATCAGTTAGTCTAGAGCCACATAGCAAGTAGCTTCAAGAGGTAATTATTTAGCACAAGGAGAAAGTGAGACATGACTGCTGTTTCACTCCAACTCCTCTCTGGGCCTGATCATTTAAAGGGGCTCACACTCCTCAGATAAAAGCTGTCTTTTCTTTCTCAAGTATATGTATTTTTAACTAGCTGTTTTCTTCAAAACGTAGAATTTGAGCATGAAAGAACTACTGACAAACTATGGTAATTCTGATTTCAGGTAATACAAATGTCTTGTATATTTGACAGGCATATTTCTGAAAATCAACAAAGTCAACCTATCCCTTCAAGGAAAATAACTGGCAGTTGTTTGTTGTCAATGATAAAATTCAAAATTTCAAATAAAAATAAAGAGTTTTGGAAAACTTCTATCTCCCACTGTGAACTTGATAGCGTCTCAGTTCTTGAGATTTCATACATAGAAAATTTTAGTAACAAATTTTGTATAATGAAATGTGTCAACACATGGAAGAGTTGTACAATTCAATAAAATAATATTTTCAAATGATCAATGCATGATGTTAAAAACAAAGTACAAGTTAGACCAATGAATTTTCATATAACAGAAGAGTTCACTGATATGTTCATATTCTACATTTCAACTAACATTTAAGATACTATCACTTAGAATATCCATAATTTTTTATGATATCTGAAAAGGCTATGAAAACATTACTCCCTTTTCCAACTATACATCTGTGTGAAGTGAGATTTGCTTAATATACTTCAAGATGATATAGATAGCATAATAGATTGAATACAGAAGCAGATAAGAAGAATTCAAGGCCAGGCCCGGTGGCTCACGCCTGTAATCCTAGCACTCTAGGAGGCCGAGGCAGGTGGATTGCTTGAGGTCAGGAGTTCGAAACCAGCCTGAGCAAGAGCAAGACCCCGTCTCTACTATAAATGGAAAGAAATTAATTGGCCAACTAAAAATATATACAAAAAATTAGCCAGGCATGGTGGCGCATGCCTGTAGTCCCAGCTACTCGGGAGGTTGAGGCAGGAGGATTGCTTGAGCCCAGGAGTTTGAGGTTGCTGTGAGCTAGGCTAACGCCATGGCACTCACTCTAGCCTGGGCAACAAAGTGAGACTCTGTCTCAAAAAAAAAAAAAAAAAAAATTCAGTCTTCCATTAAGCCAGGCATAGAAGAGATTTACAAAAATCTAAATCAATGTGCTCCTTCTCACTACTTTTTTTGTTTTGAAAATAGAGTTGTGTTCATGAAAGTGATAGGTAGACAGCCAGGAACCTTCAGCCCCTTCTGGAGACAAAGCCTGGTGCCTGGAGCAATTGCTACATCTGGGGGAAGAGGGAACATGCCATTCAAGTTCTACAATTCCTGGCTGAAAGTGGGTACAGGGTGTCATCCCAAAGCCCAGCTGGCTCAACCTAAGGTAACCTACCTGGGGCTTATTCTCAGCCTGGGAAAATGAGAGCTGTCCCTGGAGTATGTCTAGGCCATAGTTTATCTACCTGAACCCACTACTTGGCCACCTCTGCACTATTTTCTTGGGCTTATGGGGTTTTTACAAATTTAGATACCTAATTATGGGCTTCTAGCTCAGCTCCCTTATAAAAGTCTAAAAGGAAAGGTTGATATGAAATCTCTAATATGGGGCCCTGAACAAAAAACAGGCTGATCAGGCATTGAAAAGGCTTTATGCCAAGCCCCGACCCTGGGCCTACCACATTGTCAGAGAACCTTCTTTTTATATGTCCATGAGAGACGGGGAATAGTTCTGGGGTTGTTTTGGGGACACAGCTACAACCAGAGGCCTATTTATCAAAGAAATTGGACCCCACAACTGCAGGATGGTCTGCCAATTTGAGGGTGATAGCAGCCATATCTTTACTCTTACCAGAGGCCACTAAATTCACTATGGGAGCCGCCCTTACTGTTAGAACCTCTCACCAGCCTCCAGGCTCCTCCAGGGAGGAGCTGTTTTTAAGCCAGCATCTAAAGAGAAACTGTTCTGCTTTCTAACTCCAAAGAAAATCACTAATAACATTATTATCTATAAATCTTGGGTTGTATAAAAGCATTATATAACAGAAATTTTGAAATGAAATTATTTTCAAATTCAATGTCATCACAAGGGAACAGAATAAATACACAAAACAGTGTCTATAATATCTTATTATGATAACCCTAGAGTGGCAATGATAAACCATCACCTCTTAGGCATGCATGAAAGGAGACATGATTTGCAATTCTCTTATATGATAAAGTGAAGTGAGATGGTTCAAGTATTTAAGTGCATCATTTAAATTTTCAGTTTTTATTGATCCACTGGTTAGAATTTAATTGTACGTGTAAAAAGATGTAAAGCTGTTATTTTGTCCATAATGTCGTATGCTCCTATCATGGTTAGTGCCCGCATTAGTTGGTCTTGCAAAGCAGCAGCAGTTAATGACAAGTTGTTACTTCCGTTTTTCCACGTAACAAGTGCTTCGTGGGCTCTCTGACTTAATGAAACAGTGCTGAAAATTTTAAAGTAATAATTACTTGAACTATCAATTAAGAACATTTTTTTAACTACTTAAAGATTGTATATCTAGGTTTTCAAACCAATTTACCACATTGAAGTGAGGATGAAATTAATTGGTGAAGAGAATCTATATAAAAGTTTGGCACAGAGCTTGGCATATAGAAAGTGAATGTTAGCTCCATCCCATCCCTTATTTCTTTATAGGAAATCAACAATTCAATTTATATTCAATTCTTAAGACCTCAGCCTGCACGGTGGCTCACACCTGTAATCCTAGCACTCTGGGAGGCTGAGGCAGGAATAGTGCTTGAGCTCAGGAGTTAGAGACCAGCCTGAGCAAGAGCGAGACCCCCATCTCTACTATAAATAGAAAGAAATTAGTCAAACAACTAAAAATAGAAAAAATTAGCCAGGCACAGTGGCACGTGCCTGTAGTCCCAGCTATCCAGGAGGCTGAAGCAGGAGGATCGCTTAAGCCCAGGAGTTTGAGGTTGCTGTGAGCTAGGCTGATGCCACAACACTCTAGCCTAGGCAAAAGAGTGAGACTGTCTCAAAAAAAAAAAAAAAATCTTAAGACCTCAATACATAATTGTGGGTTAGTTACTACAAACCAGCACATTATCACTACTGTACTATATGCTTTGTAGCTTGATTTCACTTGATTCTCATGACAACTCTCTTAGGTAAGTTCATCCATTTTACCAGAGAAGAAACTGAGGCACAAAGAAGTTAAAGGACTTGCTCAAGGTCACAAAGCCAGCTGGGATTAAAAGCCAAATAGTTTGTCCTCAGAGCTGTTGCCCTTTATTATGCTGTATTGCTTTCCAACATGGATCACAAATATGTAATAAACTAAAATCAGTCTTATACAGAAAATTAGAGTTTATGTTAATGTGAACGTTTCAAAACCATGTGGTGCCAATATGATATAAATCAGAATATGAGAATCAATTTGTGCCAAATGTTGTCATTCATACATACCCCTTTGTAGCTGTATCACTTTCTGAGTTTTTCAAGTTCAGTTTTTTGCACAAAAATTCGAAATTCGTTTCAGTGATGTTGTTGGCAATTATCTTGAATATCTTCTCTAAGATTTTCTCTGTATTTGAACATAAAAGAAAATTTATCTGTTTTGAAAAAGATACTATAATTTGAGTTAATATTATATCTAGTTTTTCTTCTGTGCTTCTATCAAATGTATATATCAGGTAAAATTGAAAATAATGTAGATGTGAAATATGAACTGAAATTTGAACCATTTGTTGCATTTCTTCTAAAATATGAAAAATGGTACACTTAAAATGGCTGTTTAAAAGAATATTATAAGCAATCTCAAAGTGATTTCCAAGCCCTATAATTCTTTCAGGACTTGAAATGAATTTGACTCCTTCTTTCAATTCCAGCTCTCTTTTGTTCTTTTGTTTTTTTGTTTGTTTGTTTTTTAATGAAGAATGTGGGCAACAATTTTATGAATTGGTGCTTTTAGATTTTTTTTTAAAGCTTCTGGCTAATTTGGAATAGATCCATTTTTTGTTGACCAAGATATGATTGAGAATTTTCAAGAACTAGAGATCTCCTACCTCCCATGATCATCTCAAATATGTTCTGGTCACTTCTTAAAAATTTTACACGCACTCTCTCAGACTGGATTGCATGTTAATGATATAAATAAAAATCCCAATCCCCTAAGTAACAGCTTAAGAAAGGGCTCTGTGTTATTTATTAATTGCAGAATAAACACATCTGCCACACTGACTTCTCCCCACCTACACTGGGTGCCAAATCTGCCGTAGGAAGTCTCCCTGGGCATAAAGAAAGGAGACAAATGGCTGGGATTATCTTGTTTTTATTGACTTTGATCTGTTGTCATTGCCTATTGCACTTTCCCCACAGGGGCTAGAACCATATGAATCTCTCTTCCTCAGGAACTTGAGGACAGAATTTTAGCAAGGAATTTCAATCATCTAACTTTAAAGCCTTTCTCTAAAGTATTGTACCTAACAGAATACTTTCCTTGAAAACCATGAAAACTTTTATTTTGTAGAAATAGAGTTACAGTGAAAGTTCTCTTTTAATAATCAGTGCAATCAGCTTGTACAGCAAGTTAAAGAAGACAGCAACTGTGACTTTTAATTTTATCTCTTAGGTTCCTTCACTCAAATATGGATGTAGATTGTGGCTTACAAAGGACTGTGCATTTTTAATCACTTATCTCACTACATTCTGAGATAATGGTGGTACAAGCTCCTGATTATGTAGACAAGACACGATAGAATGATTTAGGGGGGACAGTTTTGGATATTCCATTTCCCCAAATCTGAATCAATACTTATTGGTCTATTGCATTAAATTGGAGGACCAAAATCTGGATTCACTCTGAGCAGTGATGATGAGTGGCAAAATGAGAGTCCTAGGGAAAAGCCTAATTGTTGGGAACCCAGGCCAAATGAAAGAATTGGACAGTGAAGCTTCTCTCTCAGAGGTGTGGAGACACCAGTCTTCATCTGATCCAATAGAAGGACATTTAAAGAAAATGAGCCTGCTCTCAGAAATAATTAGTCACACAACAGAGAGCACAAGGACAGAAGGGATGAAGACTGTCGAAGGAATTCGGATACATGGTCACAGTGGGCCCAAAGCTGACTGGTATCAGTGGAAAGATCTGTAGACTTCCTTCAAGGCCAAATATATCTTTTAGAACAACAACATCTGGTAAAACAGATCAGAACTGACAAAGAAACCCACATGTGGATTCTCTGAGTCTGGCCACAACCATGATGAAACACCTATTGAAGGGCATTAAGGCCCAGGGGTAGGAAGCAGCCTACCCCTCCACATGGATTTGCCTGTTCTTGGTGGCTCTATTTTTGTGTACTTGGTTTAAGTAGTCCAAATTATCAAAATAAACTAACCTTTGCAAAAGGAAGATGATAAATATTTTGATATCTCTGCCAGATTGAAAGCCTCCAATTAAAGCAAACTATCTTTTAATTTACAGATGATATCAGAAAATGACTTATAATATAGTCAATTACTCATCACCTACCATCTCTTTCATCTGCCCTCTGTAGATAGCGTATAATAGTATACATCTGTTTTCCTTTACAGACTTCCATTGGAGGTCTCTGCAAAGGGTTGTCATCAAAATGTATCTCCTTCAGTGAAGAAAGACTGTAGATAGCACTAGGCAGAGCTGTCAGATTATTTCCTATTAGAAAAAATTACAATTGAATTAAACCTTTCTATAAAACTATGGAAACAAATAACAACTATGTATGGGGAATCTACCATGTCTTGCTGACAAAGTACCAAAAGATCCTCACAATGCAAGTAATAGATTCTCACTGATGTCCATATGCTAGGAGTAAAAACAAGGGTGTATAGGAACAGAGATATGGTTCCTTTCTCTCCTAGGGATGGCAAAATGAAACAGGAAGTCATGCTCTTTTAATACAGCAAAGGACTTTACAAAGTAGGTGTGATGGTAATTTTTTTTTTTTTAATTTTTTAAAGATGGGGTCTTTCTACTTTGCCCACGTTGGCCTTGAACTCCTGGGCTGAAGCAATCCTCCTGCCTCACCCTCCTGAGTAACTGGGATTACAGGCATGCACTACTGCTCTTGACTTTTTTTAAAGTCAATTTTTTTTTGGTGTTTGTGTGTGTGTGTGTGGCAGGATCTCACTCTATCACCAAGACTGGAGTGCAGTGATGTCATCATAGCTCACTGCAGCCTCGAACTTCTAGGCTCAAACAATCTTCCAGCCTCAGCTTCCCGAGTAGCTGGGACTACAGGCACATACCACCATGCCCAGCTAAAAAGTCAAGTTCTAAATAACTTTTAAATAATTTAAATTTAAACTATTTAAATTTACAGAAAATTGCAGAGATTATAGCAAATCCCTGTATGCTCCTCACTTAGTTGTGGTTTCTCCTAATGTTACCTCACATTGTCATATTACATTTGTTCAATCTAAGAAATCAACATCAGTAATCTATTATGGAACTAAAGTTAAAAAAAGAAAAAAATAAGAAACCAACATTGGTATTTTACTATTAAATAAACTCCAGGGTTTTTTTGGATTCATTAGTTTTTCTAGCAATGTCCTTTTTCTGTTCCGGGATCCACTACAGGATACCACATTGCATATAGTTAGAAGTCTGCTTAGTCTCCTCTAGGCTTTCCCAGTTTCTCAGTCTCCCCTTGTTTTCATCCTCTTAACAATTTTGAGAAGCACTGGTTAGGAATTTTGTGCAATGTACCATAATTTGAATTTGTCTGATGTGTTTTCTCATGTTTAGACTGGGGTTATGGGTTTTTCAGAAAGAATACCACAGAGGTGAAGTGCCCTCGTCACGTCCCTTGAGGGATACCTGGTGATGTTAACCTCAGTCTCTTGGCTAATGGAGTGTCTGTCTGGTTTCTCCAATATGACGTTATGATCTTTTTGTCCTATCCATTCTCTATTCTTTGAAAGTGAGTCACTAAATCGAGGCTACCCTCAAAGAGGAGTAAGGATTAAGTTCTACCTCCATGAATGATTTTTTTCAATGCCATCCTAATCTAATATAAATCTAACATAAGTAAAACTGTGGTAACAAAGAATTTGTAATCTTTATAAAGGTCTAAAGTTTGCCTTTATGTCATTTATATATTTTACAGTTCTATTATTTATAAATATAAATAAAGGAACCTGGTTCCTTTTAGTGAAAAATGGTATTTAGAAACCAAAATCCAGATACCAGTCTTGCTCACTGCTTCTGGGAGTGTATGTGTATGTATAAAATATATATGTATCATAAAGCTAGAATTATATATATGTACACACACATATGTATAACATATATATATATTATAAATCACAGTAGAGAGTTTTTAGAGATCTGGCATCTTTCACTTAGCATTTCAGATACATCAATGTTGTGTGTATCAACAGTTATGTTCTTTTTTATTAATGAAAAATATTCCATTATATAGATGTAAATAATCAATCTGTTCACTAGATAAAGAACATTTGCAGAGTTTCCAATTTGGGTGATTATGAATAAAGCTACTCTATAAATTTGCATTCAAATATAAGTTTTTTTCCCACTTAAAAGTATAGTTGAAGTAAGACTCATGGATAAGCGTATATATAACTTTATGAGAAACTACCAAACTGTTTTCCAAAGTGGTTGTACCATTTTGCAGCCCTCCCATCACTATATCAGAGTTGCAGTTACTCCACATTTCAATAGCTTTTGGTATTGACTGATTTTAATTTTAGCTGATTTTAATTCTAATTGCTTATTGTGTAGTTAATTTGCATTTCCCTAACAACTGATGATATTGAACATTTTTCTTGTGCTTATTTGCCATTCATATATATCTTTTTAAATTATCTGTTAAAATTTTATGCAAATTTTTATTGAGTTGACTTCTTAATTTTGTTTTCAGGGTTTTAAAAAATATATTAAGCAAACATTTTCTTCTAGTCTGTGGTTTTTCTTTTTATTCTCTTACAAATGCCTTTTGAAGAGCAGAGGTTTCTAATTTTAATGAAATCCAATTTATAAATTATTTTTATTTGTGGATTGTGAGTGGGTTTATTTAAGAAATCTAGGGAGGAGGGGCAAGGGCAATATATGTAGCCTTAACATTTGCAGCCCCCATAATATGCTGAAAAAATAAATAAATAAATAAATCTTTACCAAGGTTGCAAAGATTTTTCTTCTTTGTTCTTATGTAAAAAAGGTTTGTAGTTTTAGCTTTTACATTTAGTTCAGTGATTCATTTTGAGTTAGTTTTTTTATATACAGTGTGTGGGATCAAAGCTGTATAGTGGTTGTTGTTTGTTTTTCTTTGATTTTTTTTTTTTGGCTTTTGGACATCCAGTTGTTCCAGCACAATTTGTGAAAATACTATTCTTTCTCCATTGAATTACAGTAGCTTCCCTTTATCCACAGAGGATGTATTCCAAGACCCCCTAGTGAATGTCCGAAACTACAGATAGTATTGGACTTGATTGCTGTTAATCAGAACACTTTTCTGTTTATGTCTTCCACCCACAAATTGAATGCCTTTTCCATCTAAACTAAACATTTATCCCCACTTTGGGCAAAAAGTTTGAAGTGCAACAGCAAAACTAGCACAAATTTCTATTTCCTCCTTGTTTTGTGGATAGAAGATTCATCCTAATGTATGTCCTAAGCATAGATCCTAGCAACCTCAGCACATGACTTTTTTCCTTATTAAATTGAGAACTTTCACCTTCTCACCTAAAGGAAGAACTTTTTAACTTCTCTTTGGCATATCCAAGTTGCCAGTATCACTACTCTTTTGCTTTGGGGCCATTATTAAATAAAATAAGGGTAACTTGAACACAAGGACTGCTATACTACAACAGTCAATCTGATAACTAAGACCACTCCTAAGCACATGCAGTGTGGATGTGCTGGACAAAGGGATGATTTACATCTCAGGTGAGGTGGCCTGAGATTTCATCATGCTACTCAGAAGGGTGCACAATTTAAAACTTAAGAATTGTTTAGAAAGAATCCAGAAAGAATTTTCCATTTAATATTTTCAGATCACAGTTGACCACAGACAACTGAAATGTGGAAATCAAAATAAGGAGAACTTATTATGTGAATAATGTATGTGATTAATTATGTGAATAAGGGAGAACTACTGTACCTTTGTACATTTTACAAAAATCAGTCGACCAAATATTGGGTCTATTTATAGACTCTGTTCTGTTCCATCAATCTTTATGTCTGTTGTTTTGCAAGTACCACACTGTACTACTGAAGATCTGCATAAGTCTTGAAATCAGGCTATGTGACTCATTCAACTTTTTCAAAATCATTCCAAGTCATTCTAGTTTCTTTGACTTCTTATGTAAATTTTAGAATTACTTCATTGTTTTGTAAAATAAAAAACTCTCCTGGGATTTTTATTGGAACTGATTTGAATTTAGAAATAAACTTTGAGAGAACTAACATTTTAACAATATTCAGTCTTCCGGTTTATGAACACTATATATCTACTTATTTAGGTCTCATTTGACTAATTTTATCTTTCAGTTTTCAGCATCTAGATCTTGCATATGTTTTGTTGGAATTATACCTATTTTATGTTTTGGGGGGATATTTAAAATTATACTCTAAAGAATTCTATTTCCAATTCTATTTACTAGTCTGTAGAAATATGATTGATTTTTGCATATTAACTGTATATAGCAATCTTGCTAAACTTACTATTAATAGTTCTAGTAGCTTTTCTGTAGATCCTTTGGAATTTTCTACCTAGACAATGTGTCTCTATTATCAGAGACAGTTTTTTCTTCTTCCTTCCCAATCTGTTTACTTTTTACTATTTTTTCTTGTCTTGTCACACTTGTTAGGACTTGCAGTATAATATTGAAAACAAGTGGTGAGAAAGGACAGCCTTGCTTTATGCCTGATCATAGTAGGAAAGAATTAAATCCTTCACCATTGAGTGTGATATTAGCTATACGATTTTTGTAGGTTGAAGAAGTTCTTTTCTATTTCTAGTTTGCTGAGAGATTTTTTGTTGTTTGTTTTTGAAAATCATAAATGGAAATTGTATTTCATCATATGATACTTCTCTAGTGAGAAGTTCATGTGTCTTTTCTTTAACTATTCAGATGGTGAATTACATGGGTTAATTTTTGAATGTTGACCCAACTTGCTTTCCCAAAATAAATCCTGCTTTATCATGATATATTTTCATCTTTTTTTATATTGATGGATTTGATTTCCTTTAATTTTGTTAAAAATTTTTCATCAATATTCATGCAGGGTATTGGTCTGTAAGTTTCTATGTAATGTCTGTGTGTCATTATACTGTAAGGATAATGCTGGCCTCATAGAAGGAAGTGGGATGTATTTTGTCCTCAATTTTACAAAAGAGAATTTTTTAAATTGGCATAGTGTCTTCTTTAAATACTTGATAGCATTCACCAATAAAGCCATCTGAACCTGCAGTGTTCTTTGCATGAGAGCTTTTAGCTACAAATTCAATTACTTGAATAGATTTAGAGCTGTCAGCCCCCAGTGGTGCCCACCTCCTGTTACTTATCCTCTCATGTTATACCTCCCACATTATACCAAGGGTGGTTTATGTGATCAATAAAAAGGTGATGTAATGTCACTTCCAAGATTAGATTTTTAAAGACACTTCTGTTCTTTCTTGGGCGTGCTAACTC